ATAAATAAACATTTATATTTTTGCGTTTCAGCTGCATTACATTACATATTACATCCAAATTTTGGATCAATATTGTTAAAAATTTTAATGTTTTGGATTGGCAGCACTCTATAGGCTTGTTTTCTGTTCCTACACTAGTGAACTAGTGCAATAAATTGGAGTAAGACAAGCATATTTTTTCTCATTCTAGCTTACTGCACTAGTTCACCAGTGCAGGAACAGAAAACAAACCCTATGTTTCCTTTGTCGGAAAACGTTTTCCCCTCACTGCCCACCTCAGCCATACAACCTCCTTAAACATGGACAACGTCCCAGTGAGAAATGATTCATCGATCGACATCGAAATGATGTCGAAACGACGTCGAATCGACATCGACACCGTCGAATTGACGTCGATTCGACATCATTTCGATGTCGATCGACGAATCATTTCTCACTGGGGTGGACGAAGAAGACCGTTACCGGCAATATCGGAAATTACGAGACTATCAAGTAGCGTTGCTATACATGCCATTAGGCTGCGTGTGGAATATATGAGAAATAATATAAATTTGAATAATGTAAAGAATATCATATTATTATACGTTACAAATATATTTTGCAAACTTTATAATATTTCTGCAAGGTTACTGAAACATTGTCGGCGAAATATTACAATTGAATGTCTCTGAATCGTTTCTGCAATATTACATTGCAATTTGCAATGTTGCAATGTTTCTGAAAGGTTTGGTGCTGTATGGGTTTTGTTAATTTTTGTAATATTCTACAAGTAAGCAGATGTTTTAATTCTTTAAGATTTTGTTGTTTCTTAAATTTTTTAAACTAGTAAAGTTTTGTACTACTTTTTACAAAATTGTATATTATCATGAAATACTACTTGCATTAATTTCTTGGCTTGAGACCATTGTAATTTGTGATATTATTTTGTAGATATTTTTACAAAAAGAAAATATTTCAACGAAGATATAAAAATTTCGACAAATTTCTATTTTAAGTAAATTTTTCGTAGTTATTTATTTTTTCCGCTAGGCTAGGAAATTGCAGGATTCGCAAGGGGGTTATCGTTTGAAATAGACGCCCTTTTTCGCGCTGCTGGTTGTCATTTTCGAAGTGTCACGCCCTCGGCTTTCGTACGGCGACGCGACGGTGGCGGCAGCAACGGCGGTTTGTTCGTTCGCTCGCTCGGAGCAGTCGATTCGGAGCAATGTGCTGGCAGGTGTTGTCGCTCACGTTGACGCGTACACTTTGAAGCGTCGCGTTCTATCCATATCGTCGACGTTCGACCAGTTGTGGGCTCCCGCTCGCGAGCGTGTCCCCGCGTACCTCGGTAGCACGTACGTTCGCGAGTTACGTTTAGCGACCACTCGTCTCGCGTTCTCGGGTTCGTCGCTCGTGTAGTCGCCAGTTTGGCACAAACTACGCTACGGGCGTGCTCGGGATTGCGATTTCCCACTCTCTTCCCCCTCCCCGCCGCGTCGAGAAAAAGGGGATAACCGTGGTGACTGTTGATACAGTACCGAGCCGCGTTCACAGCGTTCATCTGCGACCCACAAAGGAAGGAGGGAACCGAGCTGCCTGGCGAAGTTGGCACCGTACACGCGTGTCAGCGGACAGCCAAGTGACATAGTTTCTACGTGCGAGTTATTGTGCCTTGATATAGAAATGTTGCCCCGCCGACTTTCCGCGATGCACGGTGTGGGCTCGTAACGAGCACCGTCATCGCCTGTCGTCGTCGTTCGCGCTGAACGCGTCCACGTCCCGGTGTGTTCTCTCTCTCTCTTTCTCTCTCTCTCTCTCTCTCTCTCCCTCTCTCGTCTCCGTCTCCGTCTCGCTCACTCGCTCGCTGGCACATCCCGTCAGCCCAGCCATTTTCGCGCGGTGCGATCGCCTCCGTGGCAGAATCCCGTCTCGCCTACCACGACGCGCGTGGTGCTTCAGGCCGCGGGTAACGGAGTTACCGCACGAGTAGGATGATCAACATGGAAACGGACAAGATTATCGACGACGCGAACGCGAGTCTGCAGGTGAGTAACAGCGTGGCTCGCCGAGCCGTCCCTTCGTCTCTCTCGCGCATCGAAGAAAAGGGAAAAAGAAAACCTACCGCCATCTTGTGCCCCCTCGCGACTAACCGACCGAATCTTCGGTCGTGCATGTCGCACGTGTCCAGCGACGCCTCGCGATGCGCACGGTCCCCGAGGCTCCCAGGAGTCGCGAGTAGGTTACGGCTTTTTGAACTCGTGACTTTTGACTCGGCGCGAGACGCCCCGTCTGCCGCGCGCGTCGTCGAGCGCGTGTCCGATGCCGCGCGACAATCGTCGTCCCGACGAAGCGAACGGCCCCGTTATCGTCTTACGTCACTATCGGCTGCCGCGCGGCGGTATCGCTTTCGGGGTTATGGTGCCCGTTGCGCTTCGCTTCACTCTGCGCCTGTCCCTGAGCCTCCCCGAGGAGATTCGAACGGCGCCCCAATTTTGCTTCCCTTTGAAACACGCCGAGAGGCCACGCGCTCCTTTACACGTCATTCATCATCTCGCGGGCGACGCCGTGGACGCCGTCGCATCCTCCGCGGAGCTCTCTCCTGTGTTTCGTCTTCGAAAAAAAAGCGAGGACCGCCCTAGGGTTCGGGGATTCTTATTTAAATCGCATGCGGATCTTGCGGGGATGCTGGAGTGATTCTGCACTTTTGCACCTTTTGCACTTAAAACTGTCCGTTTCGTGGAAACATTTGTGTAATATACAAATTAAATGGCTCACGTGTACAGATCGAAAGCAGTTTGCTATTCCGGCTAAATTAAAGAACAATATAGCATCACTGAAACTAAGTTTGTAAGTCTAATAAAAATTAATAGTGAGCAATACACATACCACATGTACTGTATGTGTGTGTTACTCACTATTATTTCTTATTAGATTTACAAACTTAGTTTCAGTGATGCTATATTGTTCTTTCATTTAGCCGGAATAGCAAGCTGCTTTCGATCTGTAAGTCATTTAATTTGTATATTACACAAGTGTTTCCGCGAACTGATAGTTTCTAGGTTAGAAAGATGCAAAAGTGCAGAATCACTCCAGCATCCCCTTAAGCTGGGTATATGTCTACTATTGTACGAACGAACAGCGAACGCGAACGTCTGTTGTCATCATTCAGATGCATACGCCGAAGCAAATGCGAACAGCACGTTCGATTCGCGTTCGGCTCGATTCCCTAGTGAGGCGGTAGCGATGGACAGAATACGACATTTTTTAAATGAGTTTAGGAACGCGCATTTAGATTCAGGTTTACGTTCCAAAACGATTTCTATGAAAAAAAAATTTACTTGGGAAGAGATCAGAAACGCTCACAATGGTTTCGGAACACGATGCCAGGCAACAGGAAAAGGGAACAGAATTTCTGACGTGTTGGATTGGTTGGAAGAAAATTTCCAACGAATCCGACACGTCAAAAATTTTATTCTCTATTCCTATTGCCCGTTGCCCTGGCATTGTGCGATAGGCTTAAAATATTCCTCGGAGAAAAAGAGATTTTGGAACGTGACCCTGAATTTAAATGCACGTTTCTAAACTCATTAAAAAGTTTTTCAACCATTCTATCAATCAATGGCCGCGTTCAGCAGACACAACTGTTGAGTGAGTGCTCAGTATGATTGGTTAATACTTTTAGATCCAGCCAATCATATTGGCCGCGTTCAGCAGACACTACTGTTAAGTGAGCGCTCAGTATGATTGGTTAATACTTTTAGATCCAGCCAATCATGTTAAGAAATCGTTGAGCGCTAACTCAACAGTTGTGCCTGCTGAACGTAGCCATTAACAATTCATTGAGCGCTCACTCAACAATTGTGCCTGCTGAACGTGGCTAATGGCTGCGTTCAGCAGACACAACTGTTGAGTGAGCGCTCAGTATGATTGATTAATACTTTTAGATCCAGTCAATCATATTAAGAAATCATTGAGCGTTCACTCAACAATTGTGCCTGATGAACGTGGCTAGTGGGTGCATCTAGAAGCACGGCTGCTCACGGAGCGCTCACTGAGCTCGTGTATCTGATTGATGTATATTTTTTAATCTAAAAGAATATTCCAATCAAAGAGAAAAGGAGCGAATACCTTCAGAACACGAACGCGAATCTCCGAACGTTCACGTTCGTTGTTTGTCGATGTATACTCAGCTTTATAGGTCGTCGCGCTACCACGGTTTCGCGGTATGATAAAGTCCATCTGTGTCCACGATGTTAAAACTTGGACCAAGTTTTAGCATCGTGGATACAGGCCTTAAGAGCGGTAGATGTTAAACCCGTATCAGACTACGGATTGAGATTGAGATTAGATTGAAATTTGACAAATTAGAGTAAACGTCGCTAAAATTGAGATTAGTGAACTTTACTCTAATTGGTCAAATTTCAATCTAATCTCAATCCATAGTCTGATAATGGTTTTACAAATATTGGCTGCGTTCAGCAGGAAAAGTTGCTCTGCAACTGTTGTAAAATTTGTAAAACCCGTATCAGACTACGGATTGGGATTGAGACTAGTTTAAAATTTACCCAATCAGAGTAAAGTTCACCAATCTCCAGTTTAGTGACGTTTACTCTAATTGGTCAAATTTCAATCCCAATTCGCAGTCTGATACGGGCTTAAATTTGATTGGAGTATGTTCTTAGATTCTGTCATAATTAAGAGCCATACGCCAATCAGATTCAAGAATTTTACAACAGTTGCAAGGCCGCTTTTTCTGCTAAACGCAGCCATTTGTGATGCTCGTTAGACGGTCGTTTTTCTTCCCGTGCCAGACGACGTATCGCTGATTTACGGTTTATTTTGATTTTGGTTTCTTTGGTCAAAATTTTTACTTTCTTGAAAAATTAATGGAAGTTATCGGAGTTCTCGAGTTCACTGATTACGAATCTGATATTAGCATAATATAACTAGTTCACTCTCTGTCTGCCCTTTGATCTTTTCGATTCCGATCACGTGGTATTCCGCCATTGCTTTGGTCAGCAATCCAGCGACGCATGTGTGTGTGTGCGTGTGCGTGTGCGTGTGTGTGCGCGTGCGCGCGCGTGTGTGTATGTAACTCATCAAAGCTACACCACCACATACACCTTTTCTCTCATTGGTCTGAAACAATATCAGATGAGCAGAAGAAATCGACGCAAAACGAAACAAATGACGGAGTGAACGTACCAGTTATACTATGATATTAGGTTTGAAAAAATTTAAATAGTGGATCCAATATAAGTAGTGTGCATTTATTTCAAACATTCGAATTAACGTAATAATCAATACCGAGGTTGCGAAATAATATTCAAGGTTTACCTATTGTTGCCGTTTATTCTGTATTGCCGTCGTCTAACAATAAGTCAATAGGTTCATTTACATCATCCCAATTATTGTAAATTGTACAAAGTTTGGAGCTAAATTCGTTTAAATCGATGTTTTATTCGCCAATTTTCTCGTAGTATTAGAGTGACCTTTATTCTCAGAAGGGGTAGTGTCACCGCCAAGGAAATACACACTTGAGCCTACTGGCTATCCATTAGTTTAAATCTGAAGGAAATATCCGATGACAGGTTCTACTCCAAGTATTGGGTCCACGTCATCAATTTTTCTAATATTTTTTTCAAACATATAAACACTTTCCTCATTTCTCTCATACGCTGTCCATTGATCGAGGTTTCTATGGATGAGGGGTTCTTACAGGGATCTTTTTTTTCTCCATCTTGAAATTATGATATACTATACATATACGGATGAGTCTTTAGGCTCTTTACCGAAGATTTCTAAATGAACGAGAAACAACGTACCGAGATACATAATGCAAAAGAAAAATATTTCCATCGAGCTAAGATGTGCCCTTATAGTCAAAAACACAAGAAATTAACTAATGCTATGTAGTCTCGTAATTAAACATTCGTAACTCAGTGTGTTGCGGTAACTAAAATTCGTTATTGCTTTTCTAAATAATTGCTTTTTAATGAACAAAAGTTCATCTTGAAACTAATTTGAACCTTAAGTCTGATCTGCAATGTGCTCTTTGCACTTAGAAACATTCTATTTTATAAACAAATCAATACATTTAAAAATTTATCGACAATGTTCGATCGTACAATGTACAATTTCTTAACTTACTCAAATTGAAAAAAAAGTGTTTATAAGCTACAAAATAGAATGTTTCTAAACGCAAAGAGTACATTACAATTCATTAAACTTCATTAAAATTCTGAAAATTATTGAATAATTAACTATATTTTTGGGAAATTGATAAGTGTTAAAAACTGTCTTAGAATATTTTCAGTTCTCTTAAAAGTATACATAATACATGATAGAAAGCAACGATGCTAAAAAAGTATAATATATTTAAAGATATTGTGACTTTTGCATATTTTCATTTGCATGAAAACATGTACAATTAAAATATTTCTAAGTAATATTATTATCAAATTAATGTTAAAATTAAACCTAGCCTAGTGAATGTGTCTACAATTGTATAAAATTATCAGATTAGTCAAATTTTAATCTTTATTGTTTGGACTTTTGGTAAAAAAAACCCGTCAAAGTAAACCATAGTGCAAGCGACTGATTCTTGTCTTGCCGTGGAAAAATAGCCAATTATGCCCCGTCACTCGGGTGTAACTCTGCGTTTTACGTTTTACATTTACTTAAATATCGTTCTATATTTCAATCACATATCACGTTTTTCTTTTCCTTGTAATTACCGCATGAAACATGGCGATTTCTAATTGCGCTTCTTGCACGCTTGGCTTTTAATCCGCGCCTTCCTCTCGAGAAAACTCCGAGGATTCGCCTGATACATCTTAAGACCAAATCAGACTACCAATTGTCGACGCGGATTGGGTTGGGATTAGCGATTGGCGATTGTCTTCGAGCTAATGAGAGCAAAGCAAGCAGCGATTTAATAGACTCTCATTGGTTGAAAGACACTCGCCAATCCCAATCCGAGTCAGCAATTGCTAGTCTGATTCGGCCTTTACGATAGATACGAAAATTCATTCGTTTTTTCTGA